GGGTTTAGTTTTTGAGTTAGTGATCTTTATGTGGCGTAGCATGGATCTTCCCCCGTCTCTGCTGCTTTTTCTTCACCTTTGTTCTTGTAAGGTTATTTTCTGGGTAACAGTTCTTTTCCTCTGGGCTATTTTTTTTTTCGTTCGATTTTGGTGATCTATAATTTTTAGTATAATTTCCTCTACATTTTTTGTTTAAATTCTGCTTAGTATATGTTATCTATGAAATCACTTCTTTAGCTGTCAAACTCAGTTACTAGCTCTTCAAATACTGTGTCTTCTTCAACTTCTCTATTTTATTCTAGGAGTCTGATGAGACCTCCACATTCTGTCCTTCGTACGCTTAACATCCCTTTCATATTTTTCACACCCTTGTTTTTGTTGCATCCTGGGTAATTTCTTCAGATCTTTTGTTTGGTATACTAATTATTTCTTGAACAGTTTCTATTATGCTGAGTTATCTTATATCAGTAACCATATTTTTTTTATTTCTAAAAATTCTATTTGGTCCTTTTCCTGTCTACCTATTTTTTTAAATTTTCTAATGAAAATTTTTTTTAAATACAGAAAGGTAGGGAAAATAGTAAAAAAAGAAAAAAAACCTGTGCCCCCATCACGTAGATTTAATAGTTGTTTATATTTTACTGTATGTACTTCAACTTTTTTCCACACTGAAATATTTTAATGTAAGTTATATACATCAGGACATTTTTCCTCTAATTACTTGGATAATTTCTGCCTAACTACAATACCATTACCATACTTACCAAAAATTGCCCATACTTGCTAATATTCTCTAATAGCCAGTCCGTATTCATATGGACAATCCACAACTGTCCCTGTTTTATTCAAACCTGGTCCAACTACAGACCACACATTGTATTTGATTGCTTTGTCTTTTTTTAATCTAGAATAGCTTCTCCCCCTCCCCCTTGTTTTTTCTTCTATAACATTAACTTGTTGAAGAAGTACAGCCTTTTTTTTTAGAATATGCCACCTTCTGGATTTTTCTCATCATGTTCTTTATCTTGTTCCTTTATTTTTCGTAAAGTAGATATTGAATTTGAAGGCTTAATTAGGTTCAGATTAAACATTATTGTTGCAAGAATACTTCATAGGTGATTCTACTTCATATTGTTTCATCAGGAGTCAGATATTGTCTGATTATTCCAATCTTAGGGATTCTAAGGTTGATCCCTGGATTAAGATGGCAGCCAGATTTCTCCATTATAGAGTTATGTTTTTTCCCTCACACCACAAGTAACCTGAGTGGGGAAGAGGTGTGCAATACTATGAAACATTGGAAATATGCAATTCTCCCTTAATCTTTAATGGTTTTCAATCCATTGGTGTTCCTTGCCTGAATCAATTAGAGATTGCAGAATGATAATTTTCTAATTCGATTATTCTTTCTACACTTAGCTGTCATTCTTCTGTAAACAAGAATTCAACCTCGTTTACTGGTGCTTTTTGATTATCTTGAAAGTAGTTCCTACTAGAAAGGCATGATACGTCTTTTTTTTTTTCTTTTTAATTGCTGACTTTCAGAATAAGTCTTTAATATAATAGTCACCTACATTTTGACAAATGAGATTTTGGTTTTGGTGGGAGTGGGCTTTCTCTTTTGTGAGTGTCATGGACAAATGGATTTTTATGTATTAAATGTATTTCAATCAGTTATGTTCATTATTCTTTATGATACTCAAATTGTCCTTATTTTGACTGCTTACTCATTTTTTGTAATCACTTTTAGTACATTTATTTTGGGATTCCATCTTTTAAATCTAAACTTTTCATTACCATTTCAGATAATTTTATTATATGAAATACTTAGGGATCTGTAGATGAGTTGCTTTTGCTGACTGTCATGGTAAGTGAATTAGGATCACATTGGCTCCATTTCGGGGGTTCTGGCTTAGCCTAGAGATCCCAGGTTCAGTCTTTCCACCTTACTCCTGTGCTGATACCAACATTTGGGCTCGGGGTTCAGCTCACAGTGTTTGTTGATGATTGGTGGTGGTGCGATACTCCCTTGGATACCTCTGCCTGTGAGCTCAGCAATTGAGTAGTTTAGCAGTTTAGCAAAAACTATGTTTTTATTTTTATGCAGGATCTAATTGTTTTGTAGTGAGAATACTGTTAGAGTATCTAATATACTCTCCCCACCTTCAAGTGTTTGCTTAGCCCAAGGAAGTTTTTTCTGTTATTTCTTTGAGTATTTCCTCCTTTATATATTCTGTTTTTCCTTCTGAAACTCATGGTAGACAGATGTTGGATCCATTTCTTTTATACTTTAACTTTATTCTTTAGTGGTGAATTCTGGGAGAATTACTCAGGTAGATATTAATTTTATCTTCAATCACATTTTTTCTGCTTTCATCCTATTTATTAAGTTTTTAATATTGATGATCTTTGTTTCTTTTTCATGATGGCCAGTTGCTTTTTTTTTTTTTAATAGATCCATCAGCCTTTCAGATCTTTCTGAAGATGTCAGTTGTACTTAATAAAAAATATCTTTTGTTTCATATATTAAAACTATTTATCCAGGGGTTAATTGTTCTGTTTAACTTACTTTTAAATGTTTTTAATTTTTTTCAAATGTTTTTTGAATATTGATTGTCATTGTAGATCTAGTTTTTAAACTGGTTGGTTTTGTTAAGTGCAGTCTTAATTTATCAGCTCAACCCATAATCCCTACTTTGCTGATAATGAATGCAGCTTTGAATTTACAGAAGCCCTACTCCAGTGGCCGAAAGGGCAAGAGGAAGACATTTGGCCAGAGAGCTTTCCTGTAGGGTTTGTGGGCAGTTTATCTTGAGTGTGGGGTTATCTTCTCTAGTGGTTCCTATAAATTTCTTGGGAGCACTGACCTGATTTCCTTGTCTCAGTATTTATTAACGGAATCGCTTGTGTCAGAACTTGTGCTTTAGAGATCTGTCTTCATGGTGTTAGCCTGAGATCTATCCTTATGGTTTTAGCGACTCTTTATTTAGCCATTCAGCAATTTTCCAGGCCTTATTATCTCTGATATTGGGATTAATGTGAGGTTCTTCTGGAAAAACTTTTTTTTTTTTTTAAGGCCCTTTCTTCGTTGGATTTTATCACCAGTCTGAGCCTGTCTATTTTTAAATTATTCAGGAATTTTTCATAATTTTGATTTGCTCGTTCGCACCCTTCCTTGCTTTTCAGTATTGCAGTGGAGTTATTTTTAGAGTTGTTTTGTCATTCCATTTGGATTTGGAGAGGGAGAATCAAGTAAACCATCTTAATCAGAAATTTAAGGTCATCTTTGACTTCTCTCACCTCTATATAGAGTGAGTTGCCAAATACTACTTCTTCTGCCTATGTAACAGTGCTTCTGCCTAGCCTCACTCCCTGCTTCTACGTCATCTACATTAGTCCAGATACTTACTTATTTTAATGATCTCTTGACTTGTCCTCTTGTTGATACTTCTCACTTCGATATATGCTATACTTAATCACAGATCGGTCTTCCCAAACTGAAACTTTGAAGATCATTCAGCTACAAAAAATGACAACTGGTAATCTTTAAGATAAAGTTCAGATGTCTAAGCCTGATATTGAAGACTTTCTGCCATTCATTATACCCAGTCTTCCTTTGTTCCACTAATTCTTGGCATAGAATAGTCTCTTGTCCAGCTCAGTTGTCCTGTCTTTGGTGAATTCTTTTCTGATCTTAAGGACTCAAAGTAACCTATTCCTCCTTGAATTTCCTTTAGTACTTAATTTGTACATCTCTAGAGGCCCTTTTCACTTTCAGTTGTGTGAAACATGTTTATATAATGTCTTACCTCTTATTGAACCACACTGTCCTTTAGATCATTGTCCATATCATAAGATTTTTTTTTTAGATCCTCCATAGGAGATGGTTTAGTAACCTCAGATTTTGTAGATACTGGAAAAATTTTAATTTGCTCAATGGAAGAAAATACGGTCAGATTTATAAACCACTGACTTATTACCAAATTTTTGGAATATGATTAACCTTCTTTGGTAGAAGTTGATTGTATTTACTGTGACTTGGATTTTTTTAATCTACTTGTTAGAAAAATACATGCTTGTCCAATGACATTATGCTAAGTACTGAAAAGAGTTTTGTGCTGGCTACTGTGGAAATTATAGCCCAATATTGGGTTTCTGCTTTATAAATTAAAGATGGATAGGAAAATTTAGAGAGGGATTCAAGCAAACAGGTACTACTTCAGTGGATATTTTAAAATTACTTACACCATGAAGCAAATAGTATGACTAAAGAAGAAAGTTTGACTCAATTTGTTTATATTATAAAAATTACGCCGATATTCAGTGTTGTGTTGCTTTTATGGGCAGATTTATTTTAAGATAAGTGACTCTCACTAAACTGGTATTTGAAATTAGAAGGGCTGAGTAACCAGCTGGAATGTTTTCTTGACCTCAGCATAAACAGACTATACTCCCCAGTACTACTCTTTCGTTGTTGCCCACAGTCATTACATGAAATGGTCAGTTAAGTCATTTACTTGGAACTAGTACAATTTGAGATATAGTAATCACTACTTGGGAGTCCCTGGATGGTGCAACTAGTTAAACACTGGACTACTAACCAAAAAGTTGGTGGTTCAAACCCACCCAGAGTCGCCTTGGAGGCTTCCGAAAGGTCACAGCCTTGAAAACCCTGTGGAGCAGTTGTACTTTGCACATATAGGGATACCATGAGTCGGAATCAACTTGGCAGCAGCTAACAGCAAGAGTCACTACCTAATAACAAATTAGTTTTGCCACAGTGGCATTAACCCTCTTAATGCTGTTTTTTGTTGTTGTTGTTTTGGTTTTTTTTTTTTTTTTTTGTAATATCATAACTTAGAATTAGAAATCCTAATTTCTCCATAATAGCTGAATATTTTATCAAAAATGCCTGACACAGATGTTAATGAAACTGTATTATTTGCCTTCTTATTCACATTAGATTTATTATGTGCCTTCTCTTTCACATTATATTTAAGTGAATGAAAAGAATACTCTACAGGAAGAAAATAAAAAGCTTTCTGAACAACTGCAGCAGAAAATTGAGTAAGTATTTTTCCCAAATTGCTTCAGAAAACTGAGTATTTTTTCCAGCTTTTCTGTCTTCATTTTACTTAGCTATACAGACTATAAAGATATTCACCCACTCTTACTTATGGGTATGGTTAGGTTCCAAAGACCAGGTCATTATGTGAAAATCTACCTTATGCGAGAGTAGGGGCCATGCGTCTTCAGCACCAGGCCCCCCTCCCCTCCTCCGTCACTCATTGCCCATCGTATGCCCCCAGCGCATCTTGGGATGCGTAATGTCGTGGTCCCCCCTTCCCCACCACGTGTTCCTCACCACTGTGGAGCCGGGGGTTGGGGGGTGGTATTGGTGTTTGGGAGTTGCCTGCTGCCTCGGGAGCAGCAGGGGCCCACCATCACCTGGCCATGCTCCAAGCCTCCACGCAGACCCACCGACACCTTGGCTCTCCACTTTCCGACTCTGCTGGCCCCAGAGACAGGCCTTGGCAGCCGATGGCTCCTGTGCCAGTGGGCAGGGAGGGCCAGCCACTTGGGCCCGGTGGAGGTTGCAGAGGTGGCAGAGAGGCCTCTTTGGAAGAAGACTTCTGAGCCCCCCGCCCAACTCCTGCAGCCCCAACTCCCACCACCTCCTTGCAGCCTGGCCGACCCTGCCTACTGCGCACCACCCACCACAGGCCCAGTCCAGCAACTCTGCCTAACCCAGATAATGCAACTGCCGGTGCCTGCGCTGCCTCAGTCCCTCTCACAATCCTTGCCCTCCTCCTCCTCCCTCTCTCGCCTTGGCTCCTCGTTAACACGTAAAGTAGATAGTAGATTTTTTACTGTTGTCGTAAAGGTGAAATGATGTATAATGAGATAGTAAGTGAGGAGTAGGTATATTAACAATTGCAGATTTCACGTTTAAAAATTATGAAGTGTTCTGTACAAAGAAAATCACTATATTTTGGGTTGTTTGTGAGTATATATGAAGAATGTATAAATGTGTGCGTCTCTTCAGTTAGTATGTGAGTATATAGAGAAAGAGAACCATATTTTAAGTGAAAGTATTTTAATTTTTGTAATGATTTATTATAAAAGATTATTAAAATACGTTTGTTTCAAGTAAACATTTGAGTTTTGTTACCTCCCTTCCAGCCCTGTCCCAGAAGCTTCATAAAAGCAAACTGAATGAGTATTTCCTGCCATGTAGTTCTCAGGCCTGGAGAACATCTTTCCTCTGTTCCTCACCTCCTTCCCCACTTTCTCTTAAAGAATAAAATAGTAACTTGTATCCTGTGTGCCACTTGCTCTTCTGTGTGTTTTATGTTTATTATTTCTAATCTTCACTGTGATTCTACAGAGTAGCTTTATTATCCCTACTTTACAGATGGGAAAGCTACAGCTCACAAAAGTCAAGTAACTTACCTATAGTCTCATAGTTACTAGGTAAGGAGACCATCACTCAGACTCTGTCTTCTGACTTAAGAGCCTTTGTTCTATACAGTGCTGTCTAAAACAAACACACACACAAAAAAATGTTTTTCTGGGTATGGTGTAACTAATGCAGAGGAGAGAGATGGCTAGCTCTTAGTTCCCATTTATTTAAAGTATGTGTAATATTTTTTTAAGAGTTAGGATTCAGGATAGTTTTATTTTTATTTAGTTTATTTTTCTGGGTTCTTAAAAATGGTATTGCGTTTGTGTGGACATATACAAAAACTTGGTAAACTATGTAGATGTGGTGTATTATTTTGGCTTAGAATAGTTGTTTTCTGTTTAAACAGGTCTCATAGGTGGAATTAACATTTGTATCAGTATACTTTTAGGTAATGGGTATCCAGTAGAGTTTTTATATTCCTCCCATGTGATCAGTCCACTGAATGTTGGTAGCTAAAGGGAGTTTTGAGGAGGGATAATTGTCAGATGGAAAAGGAGGCTGTGGGATCAAACAGATTATTGAACATGTATATGGAGATAGCAACACCTTATAGTTTTCCTCATGCTATATATTGAAGGGAGGCTAGAAAACAGATCCTCAGTCTCTTATTGATGATTGTAAAACCCAAAAGATTTTTTGAAATGTCATTCACAGTCTAACCTTATCTCAGTGGACAGGATGCTGTTTATACTCTTTTATTTAATCTCACTATGTGTGACATTCATATGTTTTGCTGTGAAAATATCAGTATGTTTGATTACAGGATGATGCCTCAGACCCCACGGGAGGTGGCATGTAATAACCTGTATGTGCTCTGTATTACCTTTCATTAAAAAAAATTTTTTTTTTAATTCCCAATCACATCTCTTTTCAAGTATTTCAGATAAATGATTGTTGGCCTACATTATGTTGTATGAAGTGATTTAACACCTATAGCTTATGGTATTTTCAACACATCAGTTTGATATTTATGAATACCTGATAAGATAGAAAGTATGTAGAGGTAAATAAAATAATAAAGGTTAATACAGAGTTAGATATATGATTGCCTCAGAAACCAAGGTGTATATCAAAACTAAATAATGACATTTGATTGGTAGAAGTATGAATTCTAATTAGTTTAGAATTCATTTACTTTTAGTGTTCTCAAATTTACGATTTTTCTTATTGAAGCTCATTGATATTTTAGAATGGAAATAAAGGCTGAAGTTTGAAATTACAATAAAGACTAATCAGAGAGTTCTGGGCATGTGTGTTTTGTTTAGGTCATGCCTTAGATCAGTGTAGCAGGCGATCTATTCTGTCTTTTGTTTGTCTCCTGAAGTTTAAGATAGTAACAATTCTCATGAGCCAACTTCTTTTGTACTTTGTTCTACACACACACACAATTTCCTTTGATAGTTTAAAAAGTAGCAAGTATCATTTTGTAAAGGCAACCTAGTTCCCTCTGACTACCTAAACCACTGTAACATTCTGCTATTAGTGCCTGAAATTCCCCTGAATTTTATAAAAAATATTATTTGACTTATAATTCTGCTTGTTAAGTACAGTAATTCTAACTTACCTGGGCTGGTTTTGAAATCATGCCTTATGTGGTAGGACATTTATTTAGTGACACTATAGTAAGAAATTTGCTATTATAAAGTTTAGATATAGAGATAAATAGAGCGAGTGTGTCAACTTTCCTAGTCACAGAAAGAAAATAATTATATAAGCTAGGTGTTGAGGTCCCAGCTGTTTTGTTTTGAATCTTCTGGGCCAGTAGAAAGCCAAAGAAGTCTGTAATCTTAACACTTCAAAGAACTTTAGTATTGTTGATTCAACCCTCTCTTCTAAATTGAATTCCTTGTACAACTTCTTTAATAAATAATAAGCACTGTTTTAACATCTCTGTCATAATTTAATTTTAGTTGACTGAAATTATTAGAAAATCTTTATGGGCTTGAGTAGAAATCAGCTTACTTACAAGTTAAGTTTGTTGATTCTAGTTTTGCTTTCTGGGACCATCTGGAACCTTTTTCCATTTGATGGCCTTTTATGTTCGTGAAGATAGCTCTCATGGCCCTTCTGAGTCTTTCTTGTCTTCTCTAGAGGTAAATATCCTCTGTTGCATTAACTGTTCCTCAAGTGGCATTACTTAAAGACTCTTCAGAGTGCCATTTCTGTGTAATGTTTTAGTTAGTCAATGTCTTAATTAAGAAGTTAATATTCTAGGTATAGTCTGATCATTAGAGAAGTACTCTTCACCTCTCTTTTTCTGTATCATTTTACTTACATAATTGTAGTCAAAATATATATGTATTACATCACTCGTGGTTCATTAAAGCTAACTAGAAACTTTAACTCAATGCCTAAGCCCTGTCTCCATCCTCTACTTGTAATTTGGTGTTTTTGATGTAAATCTAGGACTTCAGAGACATGGCTTCATAGTAAGTTGCTGAAGAAACCTTATATCATGTGGTCTACTTCATTTTAAGATAATAGCACTATTGATTAAATACCTACTTATTTTCTCAGCATTGGGCTATCTTTACATAATTACCTATATTTACATGTTGTTTCATTTTCACAGGTTTCCTACAAAAAGGAAGTAGGAAAGTACTTTTACAGATGAGGAAACTAAGGCTTAGAAAGGTTGAATAACTTACCCAGTGTGACTAGTAGGTACCAGACCCAGAATTTGAACCCAGTTCGACCTCACTTCAGAGTTTGCATACCCTTTTATAAAACCAAAACCAAACCGATTGCCACTGAGTCTATTCTGACTCATAGTGACCGATAGGACAGAGTAGAACTTCCCCATAGGGTTTCCAAGGCTGTAATTTTTACAGAAGCAGACTGCCCCATCTTTCTCCCACAGAACTGGTCGGTTTAAACTGCTGACCTTTCAGTTAGCAGCTGAGTACTTAACCACTGTGCCACCAGGGCTTCTCGCCCTTTTATAGTCTTGTGCTAAAATACACTAAAAAGGTTACCTACACAGTGTCACTTTGTGTCAGTGGCAGAACCTACACAGATCCTCTCTGTTCTGACTCAGTTCAGTGAGGCTTTTATACCTTGCATGTAACAAGAATACGGCCACATTATTATTCCAGCTTTTAGGGATCCTTCGTGTGCTGATAGCCCTGGTGGCTCAGTGGTTAAGTGTTACGGCTGCTAACCAAAAGGTGGACAGTTCAAATCCACCAGTCACTCCTTGGAAACCTGTGGGGCAGTTCTACTCTGTCCTGTAGGGTCACTATGAGTCGGAATTGACTCGACATTGATAGGTTTTTGGTTTTTTTATATATGAGGTTAGCTTTTATTCTCAGCTTTGTGTCTTTCACAGATTTGATGACTATTCCATCAGTGCCCTGCATCAAGATCGTTAATAAATTATTGAAGAAAACCTACCTAACGATTAACGTCTGCGGCATACCACTACAGATTTCTTTCGTTAATGATAATTCTTGGTGTGAGGGATATTGTTCAGTTAGGAGTCTGTCTTATTGATACCAACTTTATATTTCTTTTTGTTTACAATGAGAGAATATCAATAGAATCATTATCCAGTTGCTTCTTGAGAGCTAGATACACAGTAAAGCATTCCTTGGAACAAGTA